AATGGGAGAGGAAGAAATAGAGAAATGGAGAGAGATACGTGGTAAGACAGAGTCCAGAAGCCCACCCAGTGCCATCTTACTGTCCATGCACTGGAAGGTGAATTCATGCTATATGTTCTGTGCCAGCTTCCCTCACACCACACAGAGGGCTGCAGCTCCAGGCTGCAGGGACTGCTGACAGCAGTGTCACTGTGCCTTGGAGGGAGGCAGGAGGGAGGGAGGAGGCTTGGAGAGTGTCAGTGTGTCTCAGCTTGTGTGGGGGCGCCTGTGTGGGGGTGGAGGGCTGCAGCATGCACAGAACATGTGCCTGCTTGCTGCTCGGATGTTGCGGATGTTGCGGAGAAGTCAGGAAAGGCTGTCCCTTCCTCTGTCTTGCACCTGTCCCTGCCACCCGGGTCCTGTCTCCCCACTTCCCATCCTTTGGCCTCTGGCCCCTCTCACTGTAGCCTCCTGTAGCCTCAGACAAATCAGTTCCATCTGTGAGGTGTCTCCATCTATGCAGTGCGTGGACGGTCTCCACAGCCCACCCAATGTGGGAGCACAGGATCTAGTTTTCCTCCCCTGAGGGAGGCCACAGAGTGCAGCATTTCAGACACCTCCAGGGATAGGACCCCCCCATTTGACTGACAGTATAGTTGAATCACACAAAGAAAAGTGATTCACACAAAGTATCCTCTGAAAACTCAAGGCCGAGGTGTGGCCAGAAAATGAACACACTAGCTCATCATTATCCCCCTTACCGTCCCCTGCCGCCACTACCAAGACCACTGCCCCTTTTCCCTGACTCATGGGCAAGAGGAAAGCTCTTTTACAGATGCAGCACCCGATGCGGCCTAGCTCAGCAACCTCCCAGGGACCAGGCCACAGTCCCTTGAACCTTCCTGCCACCTCCTTTAGCGCCAGTGTGCTCATCTGTAAAATGGATGAATAAGCCCCACCCACTTCCCTCAGTCATAAACTATCTGATAGAAGAGAAACATGAAGCCCAGCGCTGCTGGTAGGAGAACTTAGGTGCAGAATAACCCTGACTCTAGGTGGGGCTCTGATGCCTTAGTGTCCTCTCACCATGACGCTGCTCCTTCTCCTCCCAGCTCTGCAGGGCAGGGGAAAATGGCCAACACATGCTACAATGCACTGGAGCTTGCATTCCAAAGAGACCTTGTACATCCAGCACCTAGAAGCCCAGTGCAAGGAGCTGCCTCTAAGCCAGGCCACCACCCACCGATCAGCCCACCCAAGTGTGATAACAGCATAAAAAGCTGTGGAGGAAGGGGTTTGGGCTCAGGGGCCAGCCCCCAAGTGTCTGTCAACCTTCTGGCCACCCACACTCCCACCAGCCTCCCTTACCCTGTACTGCCTGAGTCAACTTCAGCTCCCTGTTTCTAGAGAGAAAAGAGTGGGCTGAGCTCTCTCCACCCTCCTTCCTCCTCCTCTCTCTCTCTCTCTCTCTCTCTCTCTCTCTCTCTCTCTCTCTCTCTCTCTGTCTGTCTGTCTCTCTCTCTCTCTCTGTCAAGTAGAATCTCCTCCTGGGGTTCCTTCTGCCCAGAGTAGCAGTTGTAGACCCACAGAGCAAGTCTCAATAATCTCTGCAGGTCAGAAGGATGGAGGCCTGGGGAGGCAATGACTACCCCCCCCCCCCCCGGGGGGGGGGGCTGCCTGAGCTCTCTAGGGATTCCCTTGCCTCTCTCTACTCCCCACCACCACTACCTCCACCACCCTTCCTGTCCATTGGTCCTGGACATCAGAGAAAGATGAGTGAGTTGGAAGGGAACTCTGAGGGCTATCCTGGACCACTCTGGGCCTGTAGCAGGCACTGTAACCCACTCCAAGAGAACGCTTCTATTTCTTTCATCCCAGAGAGGGAGAAAGGAGTGAAATCACCTCTGGGTACCTAGAAACAGCCCCATCAACTTCTTAGCTTCTCTTAATTTGTGTGCTTCAGTGCCAGGGAATGGAGGGGGCCTTTAGTCTGATAGCATCTAGAAGTTACAAAAACTCCTATCTAGTGCTATATTCAGGCAGGAGAGGAATCTCTGCTTACACCCTAGGCTCCTCAAAGGCCACTGGTGACAAGCCAGTCTTCACTGGGCAGAATGCCAGTAAATCTTGCTAAAATGCTAGCCCTCTTCTATGCTGTGGCAACCCAGAGTCCTGACAGAGGTCAAGTATAGTCTCTTTTTAGACTCGGTGAGGCTGGTTATGTGGACAGAGTTCTGGATGAGGGCTCAGCATCTGGGTAGCCACACAGTGTCCTAGCTAGAAGACACGTGATCATCAACTGAAGGGTGACCTCTTCAGATTTCTTCATTGCTTCCATCATGGAAGAAGAGCCCAAGGAAGCCTGACCAACATCCCCCTAAACACGATACCCTCTACACAAAAGGTAAACATCAAGAAGGCTCTGCCTCCTCCCTTAGGCCAGCCCAATCCTTGAGGACAACAGCCACTCGGGCAGCAATGTCCTCCAGAGGCCCACTGTGTGTCAGGCTTGAGGCTATGTCTTCACACACCATCTATATCACCCTCACAGCTCTTTAAAGTTCCAGCTTGCAGGTCAGAAAAAGTGCCAGCCCACCCAATGTCACAGAGAGTTGGGTCATGTGAGACAGCCCCTCCCTGAACATCCCCCACCTTAGTTCAGACTTAGGCTAAGGTGAGGAGCAAAAGCCATCGGACTCTTCCTCCACAGGGCACCCTGGTCTGTGTTACACAGATACCCAAGCCATGAAGCTGGCCCACCACAGCCCCTTTTCCTTTGCACAAGCATCTTCAAGAACAGGTTCATGCACAGTCTCCTGAGGTCTCACAGGCCCTGTCACCACACACAACATTTTGTAGGTTTGTGCATTTTTCCAGGGAATGTCTATTTAGACTTTCATCAGATTCCCGGAGGAATAAATGACCTAAAAAAGGTTAAGAGCACCAATACTTCAGGAAGGAAGAGGTCTGAAATTGATTGGACAAGGCCTGGGCATCCCTGCCACCCTTGGTTTTCCTGCCATGGCCGAAGCGCCGGTCCCTGTCCCTTAGTTCTGCCTCTACCCTAGCACCTCTTAGCATCCAAGCAGGCTGAGAAGGTCAAGTCAGGCAAATAAGCCCAGTCCTAATGATCCCCATCTCTTATCAGGGCAAAAGAGCACTTTGGTGTCACTCTGATCACTGGAGTCACAGCTCAACTCCATCTCATTGTGCTCTGTGATGCAGTCCTGCCAAAAGCAGCTTTGGGGGTTCCTGAAAGGCAGCTCCAGTCCATTCAGGAAACCCTTAGGTTCCTGGTAAGCACTAGACATTCTCTGGAATGGGGTCCCAGATAAAGTTAAGACAGTCCACCACAGCAGCCTTCAAAATTGTATTCCTGCCCCCCATGTCCAATGCAAAGGCATGCAAAAGAGCAGGAAGTCTAGAAACAAACATGAACACACATTTGCACAAGAGGGATATGTGTGGGTGTCTGGATAGTTTGAGTGTGTGTGTGTGTGTGTGTGCGTGCGTGTGCGTGTGCGTGTGCGTGTG